TGAAGCAATTTTGGCTCTAAAGGGTTTGACAGTACAACAATGGGATGCTCTATATATGGACATTCCAAACAGACAACTCAAAGTTAAGGTATGAGAGAGAGCTTAAAATCTATTATCCCAAATCTTACTATATAAAAATCTTTCTATACAGACACATATTAAGTGCTGTAAAGTTAGTTCTAAACTCATAGCAACCCCTTGTATAGTGTGTATAGTGTTTACAAGGAGCAGCTGGAGGGTTTGAACTATCGATCTTGTTAGCAGTCCAGTGTTTATTATACAATACCACACCATACATCTTGATGGCAACAGATTAAGTGGATTTTCTCATGAATGCTATTATGAACAACTCTCTAAGAAGTAGAGGGAATTGTGGATTCCCATGTACCCAGCTCAAACAGGTTTCAGCTTTCTCCTTTACAACCTTCAGTTTATTTTGAAGTAAATCCCTGGTAGTCTTACTTCAAGTGCAGATATCTCTTCTGCAGTATACTCTTGCTTTGCAGAGAACTTCCTGAGGATGTGATGCTGAGAAGTAGACTCTGTGGGCACAATGAAGAGAGAGTTTTTAAGACAGTCAAGATAGATGGCTAATTTACTTCTGCTTAGGCTTACACTAGTTTATACACTCACCAGTAAAAATTAGTGAAAAAAATTCTAAGAGAATCAAACCCAAACCCAAATCTTTTGCCATCAAGTCTATTCCAACTCACAATGTTTTTCCCTTGGAGCATCGACCTAGCTAGTAGTTAGCAGCCCAGTGTCTAACCTATTAAGCCACAAGTGCGCCTTTCAAGATGGCACACCTAAGGTTATTTGAAAGGTGCCTTCATGGTGCAGTGGTTCAAACTTACCAGTTGCACCATCAGAAAAAGTCGTGCAATTCTACTTAAGTGCTGTGGAGTCGGTTCTGACTCATAGTGACCCTGTATAGGGTTTCCAAGAAGCAGCTGGTGAGTTTGAACCACTACCTTGAGGTCAAGTGCTTCTCTTATGGGGCAGTTCTATACCTTAGGTTCAGTCATTATGAATCAGAATCAACTCAATGTTTTAATGGGTTTTGAGGTTATTTTATTAATGGCTGTATTGGATTCTAAGGTGTGATAGTGATGTTGATCTGAATACACTTTAAACCGTGTCAGTGTTGGACAGCTGAAATTTCTGAAAGGAATTTAAATATGGTAACGTATAGTATTTGTGCTAAGGTTGCAGATAGGCAAGTTATTAGTACCACGGATGCTGAAAGACAAGCAGTTACACCCCCGGGACTACAGGAGGCAATCAATGGCCTGGTGAAGAAGTACAGGCTTTCACGAGCTTTTGTCCGGCCCTCTGGAACCGAAGATGTAGTACGAGTATACGCAGAAGCAGATTCCCAAGTAAGCTGGGATAGTTCTAGTGAGGGGTAAAAATGCAATACATTTGTAGGAGAGAGAGAACTTAACTATGATGATTAATCGCATGATTCTTTGAGACTTGTTTACTAAATAGTTATAAAGCTAAACAGAATTAGACTCATTTGGCTTATTTCTGTAACTATTTGTCATATTTCTAATTTGCTATGAATAATATTTAGATACAGGTTAAACCTAAGGGCATTACCGTACCCTCCCCTCCCCCGTTAAAATATAATTTTTCCCAATGACTCGGAAAACTATCTGCTTAGTGAGAGTATTTCTAAACCAATTAGTATAACCATCCATGCTAATTGAAATTCTTGTTTGTCTCTGAACTTTTTAAAAAAATTTTGAGCCTTTGCTATTTTTCCTGGTAGGCTCTGGGTTTTAATAATTTGCTCCATCTTTTCTGTTACATTAAATTTTTCATGAAGTGGGACAAGTAGAGCAGGTTGAGTAAGGACACAGGAAAAACTCATTTCAAATTTATAAAAGACCTGACAGCTATTTTGAAAAAGTATCTAAAATACAGTATCCTAAAATACAATAAATGAGATTAATAACTAATTCTTAGATATATACAAAATTAACTTATTGGAGTTTTGGAATGATAACTAGCTTTAATCATAATTAGCTAGCTAGCTTTATTAGCTTACCTTATTTGGAAGAATTTGACCTGTTTCCCATTTATGTAAAGGCCTTGGAATCTGTTACTGAAAGACGAAGGAAAAAGACTAATCTCCTTAAATGTCATTTGCAGGAAAATGCAGATCGCCTTGCACACGAAGTAAGCTTGGCAGTATTTCAGCTGGCTGGAGGAATTGGAGAAAGACCCCAACCAGGTTTCTGAAGAAAAATTTTTATATTCCTGAGAAACTGGATTTTTTCTAAAATGTTTTTATAATAGTAGTGCTATTATTTTGACAGATATGACAAATGTTTACAGTGCACCTTACTGGATTGTTTCTAGATCTGATTCTTTTAAACAGTACTAGAATAATTTGTTAGAAATAGGTAAACATACTATCAGAATAGTTCTTTAAAAAATAGGTAAGCCTTTTACTTCAGTTTTTTAAACAACTTACCTGTAATTTCAGTCTCATTGATGTAAACATTGAGATTTAAGTATATGTTCCAATCATTAACTGAACAGTGTATGTAAGGAAGAATTCATGAGATTGGCTGGAAGATAAAAGCTTATTTAACTCCTTGTGTCATATTTTGCATCATCATTACTTAACCAAAATACTTTGGTACATAGCAGAGTCTTTAATACAGAAAACTTACCTAATTGATTAACATCATAGGACTTCAGAGGCATAAATATGGAGTTGTGCATCTCTACTCTGTATGGAGAGGTTGAAATGATAGTGCTATATCTATAAAGATGTATTGACCCAGACTTCATTTCTTTTTTCCTGATTAATACATTTTAAAGGTTCTGACAGAAGTGGTAACCTGCTAATATAGGACATTGCTGATCATGATAAGAAAAGAAATCCATAAAGCCTGAAACCAACAGAAAACATGTGCAGTGTATATTTTGCAGGTTTAAGACAACTCAGGACAATAAAACAATGGAATATATATATATATCTTTTGGGCACCATAATCAATATGAGCCAACAGTGTTTAAACTTGATTCAGGCCACATTCAGACATTTGCTCTTATTCACAAATATTTAAATTAAATACAACCTGAAGTATGTTATGTTACATACAAAAAACAAAAAAACCACTATAGAATTTAAGAGGTGTTTGTTTTTAGTAATTTACATGGAGTCACTTGTGTTGCTCAAGTTTTTATCACCCCTTCCAGAAAATCCTTTTCTACCATCTCTTCTATTTTTTGCCTGGCTCTGCTGGAATATGATTTGTGGTTCTCCAGTTTCATGTCCTTATTAGGGAAGGTGTTTGAATAGAGGATGGGGCTCCCTGAGTGTCCTGCACATCGACCTGTGACTTTGCTGTTGAAGACTTGACTGAGTATGTTGAAGAATGGCAGGAGCTGCTCCATACTGCGCACTGTACAGATGGTGAGCAGCAAGTGCCCCGGCTCCCAACCCAATGTTCTCCCTGAGTTGTCTTCCTCTGGATTTTTCTGCAAAAACAAAAACAGAATTGTTAAAACAGATGAGGAAGTATATTGGAAAACTTAAAAAGGGCAAAAACATCACTAAGCAAAGCTAAGAATGAACAAGCAGCCCTTCAGAGAACTTTTAGTGCCGATTATTACTTTATATGGAGATCTGTCAGATTAGTAATCTTTCCCAACTAGGCTACATAGGTTAGCTCAGTTAGTCTAAATGGTTTTGGATAGGCATAAGGATCTCTGCTAGCATACTGGTTATGGATCGGGCTGCGAACCGCAGGTCAGCATTCGAAACTACCAGCTGTTCCGCGGGGTAAAGATGAGGCTTCCTGCTCCCGTAAAGATTTACAACCTCAGAAACCCTGTACAGGGTCGCTATGAGTTGGAACCGACTCCACGGGCAAATACCAATAGGGAGAATCAAATATGATCATTTGTGTTGTGCTTTGCATATACTAAAAAGGAAAAAAAAACAACTCCCATTACATTGGGACTTCCACTAAAATAACCAAGTATTAGGTCACAAAATGATTATAAAAGAAACTAGGAAAGGACAAAGGGCGTTACACTTCCCTGTTAAAATGGCCTACGGTTTGGTTTCCATAAGATACTAAATAGGCCTAAAGTGAGCAGTTAAGATTGGCCTTGCAGCACAAGGAGAGAAACTGCCTGCTGCTTTGTTACGCTAAGGAACCTAGAGTCAAAATAATTTGGCTAGTGTCCTGGCACAGTAATTGTGTCTTTGAGCAACACACATAACGGTTCTTCATTTAGAAAATGGGAAAATCTAATCTCTACCTTTCAATAGAGAATGCATGTGAAAATTTTAAATAGAAACACATATTAAGAGGACAACTGAATTATCCACACACAGATGCAGACATCAACCTCTAAGAAAGATCATGAGAAAACTGTAGAAGGCTCAGTTATGAAAATACAGTAAATAAGCATGATGAACACGATGAACTGGGTAGGTAAAGAATCAATGAATGAAACTAAGGAAGCAGAATTAACCATCTGTCACATTTGTAAATAAATGGAGGATTTTGCCTTCTGAGATCATGTCATTTATCTAATATGTAACAGCATTAGTTTCCTATTAGAGAAAACAAGCAAAACCGGGCTTATTTTCTTGTGTGTGCTTGAAAGTAAAATCCTGAGGAAGGAAAATAAGAAAAGACCACCTAATTCTTCCACTATCACTTTATTTCTTAGCAATGGTTTAACCTGCAGCTGAGATAAAATAGGTATAATACTGGCTTTCACATTGCCGACTACCATTACTCAATACACAGGGGGTTTCAAAAAGTTCATGGACATTGAAAAGATAATTGGATTTTTCCAGGACTCTTTAGAAGCCCCCTTATACTGAGACTACCAGTAGCTGTGACCACACCATCTCTAAATCCCTAAATCAAATTGCACTGAAAAGGTAATTAGCAGATAAACAGAAGTCTCTGAGTAGCTCACAAGATTAAGGTCTGAACGGATTCCTGAAGTCTCTGAGTAGCTCACAAGATTAAGGTCTGAACGGATTCCTGAGAGGTTAGTAGTTCAAACCCACCCAGAGATACCTCACAAGACGGGATGGTGATCTGCCTTTGAAAGGTGGCGTTAATCATGAAAACCCTATGGAGCAGTTCTACTCTGCTCACATGGGATTGCCATGAGTCTGAATCAACACAAAGGCAACAAACATCAAACAGGTATAAAAGAGATGAATCTAAGCTAAATGAAAATCAGTAATATGCTTTTTAACTATCCACATAATCGCTAGAGTCCAAGTGTAAGAGAATTATGTTGTGACAATTTGTTTTAAAAAATATTCCTGCAATGAAATGAAATACGAAAGGATGAATGTAAAGCTAATGTTCTCCCATGTAAACTATCATGTAAACTATCACTCAATTCACAATAAAAAGAAAACAAAAATTCCTGTCATTCAAGAACAGTGCTTCAGTGTTTCATCTGGTCTTAGAACTCCACAAACCCTTCAACAAAACAAAAAAATCCATCACATTCCACACAAACTATTTCTTTTTTGACTTCACTTGCTCTAAACTTGAAAAAGACTTCCTTCCTATTTACTGCTCTTATATTTGTTGATATCCAGACCTGGGTTTGTACCTCAGTATCTGGTCCAGATGTTGCAGCGTTTTGCCGCTATATCACAAGCATCAAAAAGCCACCCTCACCTGATGCTTGGTCATCTCCAATCCCTCCAAAATCACTGTCTTAAAGTCCTCCTCCTTGTCCTGTGGAAGGAAAGAGGAGAACTCATAGTCCTTTATTCCAGTGAAAAGTATGCTTGGCCATGAAGACCATATTTAAAGTGATTTGGATAGGAAAACAGTTTCCAACCACAGCAGTTTTCTTAATCTGTGGGACTGGGTTTGGGCAAAAGATGAGACGATCTCATCACTAACGAGATGCAGGGGATAACAAAGTCCATATGCCTGCAGTATATATAAACACATTGCCAAGGACTTGCCGTGATGACTTTTCCACACACTCATATCAAAGTCAAAGTACCTAGAAGCTCTAGCCTAGGTATCTGGACCCAACGTTTACTCTCATCTATGTCCACTCATTCAGCCTGTGACCAAGCAACTAGTTTTTTAAACCAAACTCCTCATGCCCTGCAAGTCCAATCTCCTGTTTCATGGCTTTTCTTCCATTCCATTTCCATAGTTTGCAGAGTATAATGTAGAGCTTCTGTCTGATTATAAACTCCAAAAGACTGGAAAATTTCTGAGCAAACAAAGCACATACTGCAAACTAGGATTCATAAACCAGCCCAGGTCATCTCAAAATTGTACATTTCCTTTCTTTTTGAAAAATTTTGATTTTTTTTTGAAAATTTTTGAATGCAAGAGATAACTTAAGAGAGATGTGTACAATAAAGGGCACCCTGATGGACAAAAAACTAAGTAGCCTGATGTATACTACAAGATTTAAGTACAAAAGACAAGATAAAAAAGATCTTTTACTAATTGTATCCTATGTTTTGGAGTCCTGTGATGCAGTGGTTAAGTGTGCAGTTCCACTCTATCCTGTAGGGTTGCTGAGTCTGAAACAAATGGATGGCAACTGTTCTTCTATCTATCGTAGATGCCTGAATCCTACACATACTATGCTGTGTCTTATACATACCTATAAATGAGGTAACACATTCACAATAACTAATAGGTGGGTAGTATATACAGCATGGATACTCTGGACAAAGGAAAGATTTCGATAGTGGGGGATGGGACGGCACAAGGTTCATCACACCATTCATTTAACATTTTTAGACTGCTTGATTGGAGGTAACTGACACTGTGAAAACCATGCTGCCCTGTAGGAGCCCTGGAAGCATAGTGGGTTACGAGTTGGGCTGCAAACCACAAGATTAGCAGATTGAATCTATAAGCCACTCCTGGGGAGAAAGATGAGGCTTTCTGCTCCTGTAAAGCTTTATAGCCTTGGAACTTTAAACAGTGACTCCTAGTGTAGCTTCAGGATAAGCACTTGACTGCAAGGTCTGCGGTTCAAACACACCAGCTGCTCCTCAGAAATCCTACATAGGGTCACTATGGGTCGAAACTGACTAGATGGCACTAATAAAATGAGTTGAAACTGATTGCATGGCCACACAACCACCACCACCACCACCATTGTAAGGACCTCTGGTAGCACAGTGGTTACAAATTGGGCTGCTAACCTCAAGGTCAGCAGTTTGAAACCAGCAGCCATTCCATAGGAGAAAGATGAGGCTT